TATACATTACATCGTTTTTTTAATCTAAATTTAATAAAAATATTAGCTAAACCAAACAGTGACTATATTTTTACCTTCAATTAGTTCGAACGATAAGGAAGAAAGTTGTTATACAAGAAATAACATTGGATTTCAAAATGATTTATCCTTTGTTTCTATTTGGTCTAACAAAAAAAAATTGGCTAGTATTTAGGTTAGAATTAATAATATTTAATCACTTATTTTATGGGGATTAATAATTTTTTAATTATATAGATAAAATTTGATTAAAAAATATATGTTTTATATAAATCAAAAAGGTTAATATTCATGAAATGAGTTGTTCAAATTTGACTTGCAATTGATATTGTAAAAGCAAATTACCATTCCAACCCAATAGTCGTGACCATCTAGAAGTCCGCGGAAGATTAGGTGCAAGACGAGCCTAGTAAACACTTAGGTTAATTGATGGACAACTAGAATCTAGTAGGCTTAGGTCCGTTTGTCATAACTTTTATTTTTTTTAGTTGATGGACAACTAGAATCTAGTAGAGTTAGGTCCGTTTGTCATAACTTTTATTTTTTTTAGTTGATGGATGTTGAACATCTTTTGAACTATCCTAGCAAGAATGATGCAGTTATGGAATCACCTACAGACGAAGAAATTATTCGATCGGTAATGAACAGTAATGATGATGAGAATGATCCTGAACCAGATGATAGTAGCGTTGTCCCAAATGTGTCGTCAAAAGAGGCATTTCAAGTAATAGTCACCTTAAGCAACTACTTGCAACAACACGAGCAAAATATTTTGGAAATTGTGTATGCTCTACAAAAAGTTAAGGATGGGGTTCATTTTGGTTTAGGTGGGAAGAAAAAACAATCAACTATAGATGCATATTTTCAAAAGGATGATTATTGTACGGGTATTGTTGATAGATTGAAAGATTTTGGTCTCTATATATATATATATTTTCTCAATAAAATCCAGTAATTATTACTTTATATTTTTATTGGGCCCTTAAGGATTCAAATTTTTTTTTATTACTTAATGCATTTAGCGAGGTTATTACTTTAGTCCATTGGCCCAAGTCGGGATCGAAAGAAATTATTATATAATCGAGGTTATTACTTTATCGAACATTAGTTTATCGAGGTTTAACTGTACTGGGAGGAGGTGATGTAGTGATATCTTTGGCCTAAGCAATCGAAGAATCTACCTCCTTGTAACGTTCTTTCCGAAAACATCGGAAGCAACCTATTTCTTCACCCTTCCCAAATCAATTCTCAATAAAATAAACACAGATTTGTCCTTTAAACGATGGAGCCTGACAAAAACACTTGCAAAAAATGTCTGTATTTTCCATGACTTTTAAACCTCATAATTCTCAAAAAACAAAAATATATCCTTCAAATAATACAGGGCTATGAAAATCTTACAAAAATTCTCTTGAGTTCTTATGAATTTAAGAGTTTTAAGGAAAAAATGCATCTATAGGAAAAGGGGGGTGGGTTGGGTCATCTAAGAAAATGAAGGACCCGTAAGATAATGGCAAAAATTTCTACTGAAAGGTTGTGGAAAAGGAATCATTTGAGAAGAAGCAAGAAGTCATGTTTATGGGTTAAGCATCTTTGACTGGAGAAATTTTTCATTGTGAGAAAAATGAGGAGATTTGAATAGGGAGACATGTTCTTTATTTTGTATTTCTTTTTTTTTTCTGATTTAATTTTAAACTTATTTTAATGTATTAAATAAAAAGAAAATATTTTACTCCTTTAAAAATATTAAAAATATGATCAAAGTCAAATTTTATAGTCAACCGATGGAAAAATGGATAGAAACTGTCCAAAAGATCTTGCACCACAACGTTCGAAATATTTGAGGTGATGATTGCAACAAATTAAAGATTTTGTAAAAAATCTGCTAATATTTTTAAAGTTTAGAACCTCTACTGTAATTATCCCTATATTCTTTCAAAATAATGTGATTCAAACACACACCAAAAGTGGATACAACTTCAAAGTAAATATATGAAAAAATATAAATAGAATATTGACGCGCTTTAATATGAGAGTGCGCACGGCAAAATGGAAGGACAGGAAAAATGCAGTTGGGCAGGCAAAAGACTGATCAACACCATAGACGCCAAACCTCGAAAACTCATAAATCGAGGGAGTCCCACGCCCCAACAAAATTCTTAACTGCTGCAGGCTGCTCAAATCATTTATGCCTTGTTTGGATACAGATTATAAATTTAATTAGCGCACATGAATAATTACTGTACATTATTATCTACATATTTTTTGTGAGATTTGCTACTATTCTCATTTATAAATTATGAATTATGCTACTTGTACATAAAAATAATACATAAAGGATGACATAAAATGTTGTAGAAAGAAAAGATCGGATAAAAAAATTATTATATTTTAAACTGACAAATAATAAAGTGACATGTAACATTATATAAAACTTAATGTATAAATCATATATAAATTTGCTAAATGGAGGCATAAAGTTTTAAATTGATCCCAAAACTTTAATTTTTTTTTTTAAATCTTTTTTCAGCTAGGCATTTCGACTACTTATATTATACTAACATATTATATGGTTAACCAAAAAATTAGTAAGAGAAATTTATTAAGTTAGTTTAGCATAGTGAGGTATACAAAGTATGTATAGTGATTTTAATCAATATTATTCATCACTGCTAATTTTTTTTTACTTAGTCTTGTTTGGTGGGATTAAAATTGGGGTTTTTTTTTTTTTAGAAAATTTCGATAAAAAGTTGATAAAATATGGGATTAAAAAGTGCGAGTCTCATGAAATTTTTGATTAAAATTAATTGTTGACTTTGATTTTCATTAAAATCTAAATTTTAATCCCAGTCAAAAATAGGCATAATATGTGATTTGATTTATTACTATTTTTGTTGGTGTCTAAAGGCAAAAAAATAAAAAATAAGTTTTTAAATTTTAATATCTTTAAATGTAAGGTTTTCGCCCATTGAATTCCCAATTTTGCATTGGAGAATTTTTTACTGATGATAGTTTTCTATTTCAAAATCGTAAGTGATTCTCCATTTCGATTCAATTTCTCATAGATGGGATTCATGGTTGAAGTCAAGTGGTAAATTTTACGTTCATGAAGTTAAAGGGTTCATAATAAGCACTTAGTATAGTAGTTTAAAAGTAGATCGAGTTGTCTTGACATTACATAATTTGTCCTTTATTTGGCTCGTGGTCACCTTATCTAGAAAAGTGGTTATGGTGCTTTTGTTTTATATATTTTAAAAAAAAGATACTTGAAAAATAACTCAAGATGACATGTGCAATGTTGATCATCTGCCAAAAGAACTCGACCTATTATATACCTCTTTCCAAACTGTGAGCCTTCGCACATGCTCCTACAAGAAAATTAGGGTTCCCAAGATAGAGATGCTATTTGAAAATAATTAAAAAATAATAATAATAATCCTTAAAATATACGTAAATGGTGTGTGTGT